AGAGTCTTAAAAAATGCATGTATTGTAAACCGACAGTAGACTCCGAAATGTAACGTAGTTCTATAACACCAAATGTAAAGGAACTGTCACATTTGACGGACAGTTTTGAGTAGATGGTTTTGTCCGCCTCTATCCATATAAAACAGGCCAATATAAGGCAAAAGGTATAAGCGTTAGTAAGTTGTTATCCAAATTTCAGAGTCCTGGTAAGCAATTCCTAAAATGCCTACGGGCAAGAATCCCGACCTCAGCAACCAATTCCATTATTATCTTGCGTCCTCTGTCTTTATTCTTAAAGTAGCCAGGCCCTTGACGAGGGCATGAGGGTGTTGATTGACTGTCTGATGTTCTGCTAATCCTGTTTCAATGTAGGAAAGTACTCAGCCCCGTCAACGTTTTAATAAACAAAGCATTGTAAAATATTTAAAGCGAACTCCGTCTTCATTACATTAAAAAATTGAGTTATGTATATGAACCCTTGATTTTGATTCGACTTGCAAATAAATGCGCTAGAAATCCGTTACACCAGACTCGACAGCCGCATTACGCACTAAAATTGAAAGCTCGAGAGAAGTGTGGGCTCGCAACGCTATTATGAGTTTAGATAAACAGTCTTCCAACAGAAGGTGTCCGTGTACAACGACTTAGTTTGCTCGAACATACTGCTGAAAGATCTTGAACCTCCCGTTATTCAAAGTATTCATTTGAATCCAGAACTATTTATAATAATCCCTCTCCTTAGCACGTTGTCTATTATACCTTAACAAAATATTCATGAAAGCACCTACAGCGATGCGCCCAGTCGCTTGTGACCGTTTGGAAGCTCAGGAAAATAAGCCAGTTTTGCCGGTGCACGACAAGTCTCTCAGTTGTCATCATATTGTCAACTACCAAATCCCTGGATGGGTAAGAAGGTAGATTTGTCATAGCAGAGAAGTGGAATGTTTTCTGACGGCAGTCGGCAACAGACTTTTCTGCAAAATTCGGTCAAGCGGAAGAACATGCAAACGGTAAAGTGTGGGGCTGGCGATGAACCAGAAATCGTCTTTTTTTCAGGACATCCATTCAGAGTTATGACCTGTGGTTCCCGGAAATATCTCCTTCAAGGCTGGGCAGAACATACTATAAACCCACAGCCCCTGTGAGTAGTCGGGGCCTGAAAGGTCTGCCGCATTTCGGTCGAACTAAAAGCAAGTTTCTGTCGACTCGATAGAAAAGCAGGATTCAGAGAATAGATTTTTAATACCGTCGATGAAACCCTCACCAATGGAGAGTTCACGGTTGTATTGTCAGTCCATATGCGTTCACTTTGGTCATCCCGCAACATCTTATAGGATGCTGATTGGTTCGGACCTCATCCTACTGTGCCGCGAGAGTCCGGTCGTTGTCGTACCGCAACAAATGGCTCGTGGCTTAGTGGTAAGAGCGTGGAACTTCC